ATAGACATATGAAAACATGCTTGATGTCACTAAGCATCAGAGAATGCAGATTACAACCACAGTAAGATATCACCTCACACTTGTCATAATGACTAATATTAATAAATCAAGGAACAACAAATGTTGGAGGATGTGGAGAAAAGGAACATTTGTGCACTGTTGGTAGGATTGCAAGTTAGTGCAGCCACTATGGAAACAGTATGGAGGGCCTTCAAAAATTTAAAAATATAGCTACCATATGACCTAGCTATTTCACTTCTGGGATTTATCTGAACAAATGCAAAACACTAATTTGAAAAGATGCATGCACTCCTATATTCATTGCAGCATTATTTACAATACCCAAGTTATGGAAGCCACCTAAGTGTCAATCATTAGGTGACTGGACACACTCAGCCATTAAAAAAATAATGAAATCTTACTATTTGTGACAATACAGATAGACCCTAGAGGGTATTATGCTAAATGAAATAAGTCAGGTAGAGAAAGACAAACACCATATGATTTCATGTGAAGAATCTGAAGAACAAAATAAAGAAACAAACAAAAAACAGAAACAAACTCATAAAGATAACAGACTGTTTTCACATGGAAGGGTTGTGGGGGACTGTGTAGAAAAGGTAAGGGGATTAATAAGTACAAATCGGTAATTACAAAATAGTCAAGGGGATATAAAGTAAAGCATAGGGAATATAGTCAATAATATTGTATAAGAACTATGTATGTGGCTAAGTGAGTACTAGAATTATCAGAGGAATCACTTAATAGATTATATAAATATCTAACCACTATGCTGTACATCTAAAACTAATTTGAAATATATTGAATACCAGCTGTAATTAAACATTGTTTTAATTTAAAAATTTAATCAAAAAGTGGCACAATCACAGAAAAAAATTGGTACCCCATTGTCTATAATATCTAGTTAAACCTGAAATTCCTCTCAAATGTAGCTTTGTGACGGGCCTAGAATAGATTTGGATAGTTTTTAGTCTAGCAGAAGAAAGTGTTTGTTTTCCTTTAGAAGAGCCATGCCCTAAAAAATGGACTGTGTTTTGGCAAAACTGTAATTTATCTTTTGAAACTTCATGTCTATATTCTGCCAAGGGTAAGAATAAATGGAATCCTCTCAGCAAAGCAGGAGACCTTCTACAAATTGTATAAGAACTGAATCATAAAGAAATTTTTTATTATAGAAGTCATTTTTTTAAAAATTTCATTTATTTTTAGAGAGAGGAAGGGAGGGAGGAAGAGTGAGAGAAACATCAATATGTGAGTGCCTCTTGAGTGCCCCCAACTGGGGACCTGGCATGCAACCCAGGCATGTGCCCTAACTGGGAATTGAACAGGCAACCCTTTGGTTCACAGGTTGGGACTCAATCCACTGAGCCACACTGACCAAGGCTGATTATTTAAGTCTTGATTAAAGACCCAGATAAAATAGCAGTAAGCTTCAGACAACCCTATGGGCATGACTGTCCAGGAGGACTGTTGTCCTCACCAGATAAAAGCAAATAGCTATTGACTGTCACTATTCAACCCTTAAAATAATGAAATTCTGACACATGATATAACATGGGTACATTTTGAAAACATGCTAAGTGAAATAAGCCGACACACAGAAATAAATATTGAATGATCTCATTTATATGAAATACTTATATTAGTGAATTCATAAAGAGAAAAATTGAATGGCGTTTGCCAGGGGCTGGGAGAAGGGAAAGTGGGAAGTTAGTGTTTAATGGATACTGAGTTTCAGTTTAGGTTAGTGAAAAATTTCTGAAGATGGATGTTGATGCTGGTTGCACAACAATGTGAATGTACTTAATGCCACTTAACTATAAACTTAAAAATAGTTAAAATGATAAATTTTATGCTCACACACACACACACACACACACACATACACAAAGTTATTGACTGTCCTGTTCTATAAGCACACTGGAAAAAGTTGATGAAAGATTCACTATAGCGAGTGTCTTCAGCAAATGTTTTGCAGGATGGTATCTGAGTTTGAAGAAATGAGGAATAATAATTTTGTTGGTGGCCCTTTAGTCTTAAACAAATGGATGTCCCTATCCACTTGGTTTCTTTACTTCCAGGATGGATGTATTACAAGGGCTAGAGCATGGCGAGAGAACAGTTTTGGATCTGAGGCTTCAACTACAGGTTTGACTTCTTCTTTTACTTTTGGCTTCAAAAGATATGGGGAAATTTGAGTGATGGTAAGTAGGCTTTATCTGAATCTTAATAGGTTCTGCTCAAATTATTTTTCTCATATCAATATTGGGCATGGTGTCAAATACTTATCTGGCATATGCATCAAATATAATGGAGAAAGCAAAGATATATTCAGAATAGAATCAACTTGCTTGTAAATAGAGGAGTCTTCTGGAATCTCACAAATAGTCCCAAATACTCTTGGCGTTCATTTAAAGTTGCAAAGACTCTGCTTTTTAAATATGTAGAAGGGTGTCACAGAGCAAGAAGGAATGTTTTGCAATTAAGGGTTCTGGGCTTACAGTTAAAGGCTGAGAAATAGAGAAAAATCTATGGGTTATTTGAAATGTTTACTGCCTATGTCTGTTTATATTTACTCCCCCAAAAGAGGCAGAGCAAAGATGGCAGGGTTAAATGCAGAAAGAGTATACTTGTATCTACCAGAAACTCATGAGGTTACAGTATATAGTGGGTAGAACTGTGTCTGACAGAAAGATATGCTCCAATTCTTACCCTCAGAACCTGTGAATTCAACCTTATTTGAAAATAGGGTCTTTGTAGATGCAGTCAAGATGAGGTTATACTGGATTAGGGTGGTGTCCTTAGAAAAAGAGAGAAATTTGTACACAAAGAAAACACAGAAAAGAGTACCATATAAAGATGGAGGTTGAAATTAGAGTGATACATCTACAAGCCTAAGAATGCCAAGGATTGCTAGCAACCATCAGAAGCTAGAAGAGTTGAGAAAGGATCCTTTCCTAGAGCCTTTGGAGGCAGTGTGGCTCTGCTGTGAGAGAATAAATTTCTGTAGAAAGATCACTAAAATAAAAACAGGTTTGTTGTAGCAATGGAGTCAGCCCCCATTGCTTGCTTTTGGCAGAGATGCAAAGGAAGGCTAGGGAAGTAGGAAAGCTTTATGTTTTGTTTTGTTTTTTTAAGTATCAGATTGGAGATTTGGGAGGAAAATGTCCTTTTTTTTTCAAGAAAAATTACATTCTTCTGATATTATTCATACCATAATTTGTACTTTAGTATTTTCCCCAAGGGAACTACTCATTTAGAAGCCCCAGTATGTCATCCATTATCTTCCATCAAATTTGAATTATGCATTATCTTCTCTCCAAATTCAAATTACACACATTTAATACTTGATTTGGCAGTAAAAATAATAATAAGCTAATAAATCCATTGACGAAAACTCAATTGTTTTTAAAACAATTCTAATGGAGGAGTCAAATAACACTTTAAAAGAAATGACAGCTAACCTGAATCCTGCTGCTTTAATTTCATACCAGGTCCTGTGCTGGGAGAGGCTCTGACTTTCTGTTTACTCCATTGTAAATTGAGGACCATAACCTACTCCACAGAGATGGCAAGAGACTTGCACAAGGCTAATCTCTGTACTAGAACATAACTAGAAACCAGACAGAAAGCTTAATTGTGACAGGCAGTAAATTTAATCAGGCATGCCATGTCCTTGAGGAGCTAGTCAAGGAGCAAATATTTGAGACAATGGAGGGATTCTTCCATGTTCTTATTTTAATCAATTCGGTTCATATATATTGAACAGTTACTATTTGCGAAGTATTGGGAGATGAAAAGACATGGTCCTCACCTTCAGGAGCTCACATACCCATGGAATCTATGGCTAGTGAATTCTTTACTCTTGGGCCAGTTTGGGAGAAGTGTTGTTAAGAACAAGTCCTGTCCCCCTGGAATGCCAGTTCTACTAGATGCACCCCCCAGTCAACTTAGCCTTCTGTTCTTAATACTTAACGCACTTAGTGATGACAGCGCGCTTTCACTGCTCGCCTCCTGCTAGGCAAAACACCAAACAAACATCCAGATACAAAATTGTGTTTAATCCTTACAACAATCTTAGGAGTCACATGCTATTGTTATTGTCCCCACTAGGCAGCCAAGGAAACTGAGGCTTAGAGAGCCTAAGCCCAAATAGCCTACCAAGGCCACTAGGTAAGAAAAGCAGAGAAGTGGAAGGCACATGCCAGGGCTATTCTCAGCACAGCCGATCTACCCAGACGCAGGCAGGTTGTTGCTGTTTGGCATCCTCTCGCCTGCTCAGCACAGGGTAAAATGTCCTGGGGATACTCCTGGAATAAGTAGTTGAACAGAGAACTTTTCTTTTTTCCTTCACTAAATTCATACAATGTGAGACTAAGAAGCCATTTCCCAGAATATCTACCTCAACTACCTCATTTTCATATAAGGAAGCTCAGGTCCAAAGAAGTGCAGTGACTACTTAGCCTAAAGATTACTGGCAGTCCAGGGCCCCTCGTTGGGGTCTGAAGGGCAGTCCAGCCCCCAAGGATGGTCAGACACCTCTGGCAGCCTGTCAGTCCTTAGCTTAGTACCCACGCAGGCAGGCACTCATCGCTCTTGCCAGGTTCCAGAACAGGACACCCAGACAGGACAGTCAGCAGTGCGTATTAACTGAAATCTCTATCTCTGCAGACGATTGCATGGGTAGATTCGCTTTCCTGCTTCGGGCACTCTACCTCCACAAACCATTTTTCGATATACACGGACACTCACAACACACACATATTTTTAACGGATAATGGATTGATTAATACTGTAGGCCAGTTATTGAGCTTTGCAAACCCAGCAATAGGTTCCAGCAGGGAAGTAAGCGGAGCTGGAGCAGGCGTGGGGGGGCGGGGGGGGGGTGGAGGCGGGCGTGGGGGGCGGGCTGGAGCCGTTGTACGCCAAAGCCGCGATAACGTTTCCTTACGCAAGCCGGAAGTGGCGGGTGTGGACGGGGCGGAGCGGCTGCCGAGTGTTTGGACACCTCTCCACTACCCGGGAGGTGGCAGTGCGGCCGGGGCGCGGCAGGGTGGCAGGGACTTTGCGCAGACTCGGGAGAGTGGTGAGTACCTAGTCTACTCGGTCAGGCGAGCCAGCGAATGCTACGACCCTGGCGCGGCTCGGGGGACAAGCGTCAGTGTTCGGGTGGGGTCATCCTCGTGGAATTCCCTGTCGGAGACGTCTCCCTGTCGGAAAAAGCCGCGTGTTTTCGGTGCAGTTTGAGTTTTCTTTTGAGAACGATGCTGCAAGAGATCGTTGGTCTGCTTGTTTATTTTTATTCTTTTCTTTTTTTTGAAACAAGTGTTCTCGTACAGCAGCCCTGTGTGGCAGACGGCAGCACCTTTAAAAGATGGACAATTGTGTGGAAATCAGAAGGCCGAGGAGACGGCGGAGGGGGCCGCCGGCATTTTCAGAGTTCGTCTTGAAAATTACATTAGTTTAGAGCAATTTGCTGAGGAATAATTTGTAAACGCACTAACGATGCTTTCGTTTGTGACGATGCTTTTGGCAGAACGAAAATTTGATTATAAATCAAACTTTTATCCTTCATTGAGAATTATAAACCATTCTGGACAGTTAACCGTCATTGAAGGCTCTCAGGAGTAGGGTCTTAATTTATCGTGGAATTAATGTTGTCTTTTCATGTTGTATTTAAAATAGAACTTTCGAACTGGGAAGTGAGGAACCAGGTATTTTATGACTGTGAATGTTAATATTCACTTTGTATTATTATTCTATACCCTTTGTTTAAAATTGTCATGTGACTAAATGTAAAAAGGGATGTTGGTGTCCAGTGTTTATAGCTCAGAGAATTTTGACCTATATAAGCACAGTTTAAATGAGTTTGAAAATTACACTTTTTTCTTATCTTTTTTATTGAGGTATGAAATATATATGAAGTCACTAAGGGCATAAATATTGATTGTACAGCTCAATGAATTTTTTATATATTTATTAACTTGTGTAACCACCAGCTAGGTGAAGTGTGTGTGTGTGCGTGCGTGTGTGTGTGTGTGTGTGTGTGTATATATATATATATATAAAGAAAACATTTCTATCATCCCAGGAGTTTCTCTCTGCTGCTTCCAGCTTAGTAATACCCTTGCCCGGTAATCAGTATCTGCATTTCTGTCTTTGTCTATTGGTTTTGTCTATTTTGGGCTTCATGTAAATGGAATTGTGCAGTATGTTCAGCACACTACTGTGAGATTGATTCATCCATGATGATTCATGTAACAGTAGTTCATTCTTTATTGCTGTGCGATACTCATTTGCATTGATTACATGACTACTGTTCTGGCTAATGGATATTATATTTGTGTTTCTAATATTTGTATATCATGTATTTTGAAGACTACTGTGAACATTCTTGTAATGTCTTGGTGAACATCTGTAAATATTTCTGTGAGCTGTGGAATGGCTGAATCATAAGATAGGTGGAAAATTACTTTTAACATGAAGCCTTCCTTTTTTATAAAATAGAATGTCTTATTTTAACTTATATAACATTAAAGATTAGTAAAAGGCATAATTGTTATGATTTCAAGACTTAAGTGACTCATTATCTTATTATTATTTACTCCTTGGTTTGCAGTATCTATGATGATCTTGTACCAGACTATCGTTACTTCTTTAAGTGTTAGAAAAGTCTGTAAAAGCTGGTGATGATATGTCCCTGAAGTCTGTTGTATAACACGTAGGTAAGAGTTATGTTGCTCAAGTTAGTCGTTGTTAGGGGAAATGAAACATCAGAAAGATATGACAAAAATGGATTGAAGAAACATGGGATTGCAAATCAAAGAACTTACTGCATTTTTATCATCATACTACACAAGTATGGGTAAAAATATATAAATTAATTATAGGATTAATTACAAATGTGAGTTTACTACAGGAGTACGGTGATTTCCAGGGTATTAAGATACTGATACATTTATAATGGGAACAGACAACAAAAATCACTATGCATTTGTGGGAAATCAGTAACATGTGAGAAATGCCCTGGACTGAACAAATATAAGTAGACTTGAAACAATGGAGTTAATGTAAGAAACAGAAGAAACTTCAAAATAAATATTGGTATGCTTAGATTTAGGAGGATATTATGCCTTTTGAACACATACAAGCTGCCCTGGAAATAAGCAGTAAGTTATTCAATATTAAAACATAGAAAATAGGAAAAATAGCCATCACATGTCGATCTAGAAGAGCCACTTTACATCTCATACGAGTTTCAGGAGTTAATAGAAATTGGAAGAGGAGAAATAACCACAGAGAGAACAGAGCTCATGAGGTTAGGAATTCCTTGGCAGAGTCTTGGGTAGTGGAACCCAAACAGAAAGATGTATCAGTTATGAGACAAAGTACTAGCAAACATAAATCAACCCTCCCATGTCTGGTCTATTTCTTCATCTGTACAGTGGGAATGATCAGAAAATATACCTTTTCAGAGCTTGTGGGAAGATGTGGCACAGATTCAGGAGTTCTGGCTGTTTTACCAGCCCCTTTCCCCTGTTTCCCTCCCCTCACAACTCACAATAGATGCCAGCTTTCTCATTCCTACTTTATAGTAGAATGGAACCAAGATATTGTCAAAGGGTTAATGGAAGAAATCAAGGAAATGTTTCTTGAGAGGGGTATTTGAGTTTATGAATGGAAAGACATACTGAGAGTCTTAAAAAATATTCATAGACACACACAGATACATTCTGAAGAAATTTTTATAAACATACAATCTCATAAGCTGCCAAAGAGAAGCATATGGTTATCTATACAGGAATGGAAATCACACTTGCAATTAGACTTCTAATCTGGACATGGAATGTTAAATGACAGTGGAACAGTCATCTAACAAAAATGTGCTCATGGGACTCAAAATCTTATTCATAACTGAACTGCCATTCAAAGTGGAAGCAAAATTAAGTCATTTTTACCTATACCCACTAGGAATACTCTAGGATGGGCTATATCAAATAAAAAAATTAATCCAAGAAAAATAGGTGTGGAATTCAAGAAATAGTGATCAAAGAAAATGGTAAAACTTATTTCTCAACTCCAAGGTATTTTTAACTACAGCTAAGAAATTTAATGCAATGCAGTGCAAAGAAAGGATTTATAAAATGGAGTGGGTATAGTTTTAAAGTCTATAATTAAAAAAATTATTGATCGATTTGAGAGAGAGACAGGGAGAGAAACATCAGTTTGTTGTTCTACTTATTTATGCATTCATTGGTTGCTTGCACATCAGGACAACCGGACAACATTTTAACACACTGAGCTTCCTAGCTAGGGCCTAGAGTCTATAATTTGTAACAAACATTCAATGTGATTTGAAGTTGCTTGGGAAGGCTTATCATGTGCAAGGGAGAAGCTATGCACACAGACCAATTACATGTTAGAATAAACTCTTTAAGGAACTATAACCCAGTAGTTCCATTTCCAGGGATTTATCCTATATAAAATAATGTGGAAAGTCATGTATATATAAAGTTATTTATGCTGAAATGTGTAATAGTGGCAATAGATTTGGAAGGATACAAAACTGGAGAGGGGAAGTGTGCCTCTGGGATAGAAAGGAGAGATTGACCATACCACTGTGGTATGGCCTTATATCATGTTTAACCTTTTAATCACATGTATTTAGTTTAGGGAATTTATATTTAGAAATATAAAAAATAGGGGGGGAGTATAAAAAGGTAAGGATTTAGAGCACCGGTCACCAAATCTGGCTGGCCACTTATTTTAATATGGCCTGTGACCTAAAAGTGGTTTTTACATTTTTAAGTTCTTGGGAAGAAAAGAAAAGAAGAATACTTTGTGACATGAAAATTATATGAAGTCCAAATTTCAGTGTCCTTTGGACCACAGCTGTACTCATTCATTTATACATTGTGTATGGCTGCTTTTGTGCTACAAGACAAAGCTGACTGGTTGTGATGTATACTGTCAGATTCTTTACCTAAAATGTTTGCTAACCCCTGATTAGAGGACAGAAACAGACCTCTGTATATGCAGGAATTTTGCTTATGATAAAGGACATTACCAGTTAGTGCCTGACACACAGTAGGTACTCAAAATATCTGTTGAATGAGGTGCTGTCTTCTGGTGATCATATTTTTAATTTTAAATACTTACAACCCATTGATTCATTGACATGTTAAAGAATTCACATATTATTTTTAATACTCATTAGTTGCTCAAGAAATAAAATCTAATTCCCTTCTTCATAATATTTATGCTTAATGATTTTTTAGTTTTATTTTCCTGACAGTGGTCATGTTTTCCAAATAATTTTGTGACTTTTTGTTGTGTAAAGAGTGAACTGAAAATTACAAATTTAGTTTTTGAAAACTTTAATAATTATTATTTTATACAGAAAATTTAGGAAAATTATATAGAATGTAACTTTAAAATAAGTAGATTGAAATGGGTTATTTGTGTTTTGCAGTAGGCAGTAGGTTACTCTTATCACAGAAGTTAGTTTGGCACACTGCAGTGTAAGTATCCTGGAAATGATGTATGAAATATGTATTAGTAGGATCATAAAATTGTAGAATCAGAAGAATAAGTGGAACTGCCTAAAGGTCATATTATGAACTAACTTTAACACTTTTCTGTTGTCTCAAGATCACAAGGCCAATAGAAAGATATGATAAGACCTTCAGAATAATATGATTCTACTTTTGGGGAGTGGCAGGGGGGGTTAGTTTGTTTCTAAATCCAGACTTGTAGGCAACAAATATTCACACTTGTTTTCTTAATGAACAGAATGGGGTTTTCTTATACATGCCTATTTGGCACTACTGCTAAAACTATATCTGATTTGTCTTTATTTTTTAAACAACTTCATTGAAGTATAATTGGCATACAATGAACTATGCATTTTTAAGGATATAATTTGATAATTTGAACATATGTATGCATCTGTGTGTACATATGCACAAAAATTGATGGACATTATCAATCACTATCAAAAGCTTCTTTGTGCCCTTTTATTATTCCTTCTTGGTGTATATCTTCTCTTATGCCCTACTTCCTCCTCACTTCCTCCTCCACCCTCCC